TTGAAGCTAATATAAAAATTGAGAAGTTTGTTTTCATTTCCATTAATTTTTCATTAGTAGGCAAAATGCATCAGTGAAATGATCAACATTATTTCATGAGTAGCAGTGTGGAGTTCTGTGTAGAGAACTGCCCTTGGTGTTGGGCCTACATGGGCTCCAGTCATTCCTTTGACTGTGATCCTGGATATGTCACTTACACTCTCATTTTCCATTTCCCCATCACTAAAGTTAGGATAATAATAAAATGGAGTCAGGTTGGCATAGTGGATAAAATCCTGGACTTTCAACTCAAGTCCATAAACACATATTAAGTTCCTACCATGATGCCAGCTAGTATGCTAAGTGCTGGGGATACAAATAAGAAAAAGACAGTTTCTGCCCTGAAGGAGCTTACAATCCAATGGGAGAAAACCCCATATAAAAGGAAGCTCCAAAGTGGAGGTAGAAAGGAATAAGAGAGAGGGTTCCCAGTGCAGGGTAGGCAGTCTTGTTTAGTGGAGTTCAAACCAAGCAAAGCTGCAGATAGAAAGTGGAGAGTGAGTCAGAAAGTCCAGGTCCTGCCTTCTCTGAAAGAGAGCTTTGGGTGAAGTTCAGTGCTCTCCCTTCCAGCCCGTAGGGGAGAGGAGGTTGAGGGAGCTGGCAAAATGTTCAGCATACAAGACCAAGTTAAACAGCATGATGAGATTTTAAGTCATCAGTTTATCCTGGGCAGCCTGGAGTTCAAATCCCGTCTCGTTAAACCTTTCAGCCTCTGTTTGCTCATCTGTAATAATATAAAGTAATAATAGCAACTACCCACAGGGTTATAGTAAGGATCAAATGAGATAACTTATGTAAAGTAATTTGAAAACCTTAAAGCATTATATAAATACTAGCTCTTATCATCATCACTTAGACTGACAATGCCCCTAGGCAACTCTCTGAGATCATAAATTGAAGAAGAGTTGTAGATTTTTATTAGAATATTAGAAGAGGGAGTTTCCTAGGATAAGAGCTTTCCCCCACCCCCCCAAAAGGAAAGGAAAATCACAAATTTTACCCTAAAAATGATTTGTTAGAACTTAGAATAATTTTATTTAAGGACTCTTCAGTTTTAGCCTCTCTGTGCTGTATAGAACATTATACCTCCTACTCTAACAACCTGAGACATCATTAATGTGAGCAATTCCTTCACAGGCACACATCATGACTCTTCTATGATTTAGTTGACAGTCTTGGAGAATTGCTATGGCCTGCAAAATTCATCACATGAGGCCAACCTAATGACAAGCCTCTCTGAAGCTAACTATACTAGTCCTTGGAGGACAGATGTATAGTTTTCCACAAAGCCTATATTTAAGCCTTTCCATTTTGATAGGATCTTCTAGGTTCTTTCTATCCATCAGTGGAAATTAAAAAAGTTCATTTGCTAGAAAATAAAAGCCATTGTGAAATAAACTATTTTTTTTTTCAGAACCAGTTACTCCAAAGTGGGAAATTATTTTATTCCATTTCAATCCATACAGGAAAAGAGTTGTATATTAATATATCTAAGGCAGAAAACTCATCATTATTTTTAGCATGTTTGACACCTAAATTGAATTTGATACAGTGCTATGAAATAACCATATATGAAAGCTTGAAAAATATAAAAACTTGAGGTTAAAAGAAAAGATAATAGAAACTAAGATGGCAATAGTACAGTTAGAAGGATTACTAGTAGACGATAGGCAGAAAATAGAGAAAGATTTAGAAAACGACTTTCAGGAGAAAAAGTACTAAGGAGTTCATGTCTATGTAGGGCAATGACAATTCTGTTATTTTTAACCTTTTAAAAATAAGTAATGGCATGGATTTTTCTTACCTCTGTCTCCTACTAGCCACATGATTGAGGGGAACTTACTTCTCAGTGTTCTAGACAACTCTTTAAAAATAAAAGTTGCAGAAACAGGGCAGTCTTGCATAGGTAGAGAGTGTTACCTCATTCAGGTATTCCCTCTCTCAATGAAATTACAGATCCCCTTCATAATCTTAATAATGTATGTGTGTATGTGTATATGTGTGTATACACACAAAATTTATATATGCGTGTGTGTGTTGACAAGGCGATTGTTGGCTTCATCATTCCATGAGAGATCTAGTTATTTGAGAAGTCGGTAGAAATTATAATTTAAAACCTAAAAAAATGTTTATAATTAACCCATTTAGTTCTGATCCTAAAGTGTGTGTTTATCCTGGCTCCTTTTTAACATACTTCCCTGCTGTTTTCTCCTTACCTCACCTCAGGTTTCAGTTTGGAGAATCTGAAAATCCAACTGTTTTCGTTCATTCATGGATCATCTGCTGTGTACTGGCTACTATACTAGGCACCAAGGGAAAATACTAAAAAGAATAAAACATTTTCTTTCAGAAATTTTACAGCACTTTGGCATTTAACTAGTTTTGTTAGCTGAAAAACTAAGGAAAAGAAAATAAAAGGTTTTCATCTTTTTTTTTTTCAAACATCCCATAAAAAACCTCAAGTTGATTTAAAATTTGGAACATAAGAACAATTCCTACTGTAAATAAACATGTGGGAGGATGTTCAAAAGTAATATATACATTGGTTATACTAAATTCCAGGCACAAACATTGATTTAGATTATTTATTCTTAAAAATAAAATAATTTTGCCCATATCTTCTGGTTCAAAATTCAGTTTAAAGACCTTCTTCTCCTATTAAGTCACTTTTTACCTTTTTTACACTAAAATTTTCAAGAAACCTTTTTACTCAGAGCACATAAAATATTTTAGCGCTAGATTTTTGCATAAAAATGAATAAACTTTAAAGAACTATTAATTCATTTTACTTTTCTCCTCTTCTCTTATTCAGAATAAGTGCAGAATCATTACCTTCATTTAAACTAATGCAACTAAAAGAAAATACTACTGAGTTGGGTGCATTTTTAGTGATTTTTAAAACCACTAATTACTTTTGATCTATAACAGGATAATTCATTAGGGCAATTCTCCAAATAATCCCAAGGTGACATGAATTCTTTTATGGGGTAACAGTCTATAGGAAGTACTCCTTGGAAAACTGATAAGCTTTTCTGGTCATTCTGTAGCTTTAATCCACTGCCTGGAACATGAAAGTGTTCAGGATAGCAAGTGTGTAAATCACTAAAATCAAAGTTATTTTGGGATTATATTGTTTTACCACTACTGCCTTTTCAATGGACTTGCTATATGTGTCAGATGCAGTAACATCAACTTAATGAATTAATCTTGTGAAGAAAGAGAACACTTTCCTTCACCACCTGTCTGTCCTACCCCCTACCATACCCCCAAATTCTTGCCCTTTTCCCACTACCCTGCAGATTATTGAGTAATGAGAAAGTGTTGATGCCTGAACACTTAGGTCTTCCATTATAAAAGAACTAAAGTCTTTCATGGTAAGTGTTTACATTTTTAATTAAAACCCAGGAACAAACAACAACACAACAAAATCCCTTTCCCTCCTTTGTAAAGTGTGAACTTTCATTTGAATTCAGAAATAAAGCAAACTGCCTGTTAGTGTACACTGTAAAAAGAGATAGGAGAGAAGAAAAAACAAAGCTGCCTGATCCTAGTATTTACTATGTCAAAGTACCTGTGAGGTATTTAACCTGAGATTATTGGGGGGGGGGGGAGAATTAACCTGCTTACACAATATACTGGTTTAGAAAATGATGGCATGGTGCTTGAATACCTACATATGCATGCTATAATAGGAAAGTTTAATAACCCTTCCTCAGGTCAAGAAATGGAGTTGGGGGTGGAAAGAAAAGGGGGGCGGAAATTATTTTTATTGGTCCTTGACACTCAGCAGGGATTTACTGAACTTTGTGGTCTTCCTTTGCTCTTTGAGACAGGACAAGAAAAAAATGTTTTTAATTAATGAGATGCATAGTATTTAAAATATCATCCAGAGCATTCCAGAAGCTGGAAAACTGTAGACATTTTTAAATTCAGAGAATCCTTTTGAGAGTCCCCTGTTGTAATTTATAATTCCCAATGGACCTATACTTGTCTTGAACTGATTGTTGAAATAGGTTTTTCTTGGAATTTTTTCACTGAAATTGGGAAGGTAGTGGAGCTGTGAGCGGGAGGGGGATGGTTGGATGTTCTCTAACAAGATTTTAAAACCTTCAGTGACAAACTTACATTGATGGAAAGGACTCAGGTTGTTGCTTCCTCTCTTTTTACTGTGCATACATTCTAGCAGAATTATACAACACACATGGGCTATTATTTATGTAGGTAGCAGAATTTAGATTTTTTTTAAATCAAAATTGCGCCCAAAAATGGCTATTAAATAGCTTATGCCTTGGGAAGTAAATTTATAGCTACATGCCTTTCACAAGCACGCTGGAGGTTTATGTTCCCTCTTCTAATCTCTGGTAGATGTTTTTTGCATGTGTTGTGTGACAGCAGGGAAGGGGAGTGGGTTGAGCTTGCCTGTTCTCCCATTGTCAGCTAGTCTAGTGAGTGTTGGGAAAACCTGTCTGTGGGATCTTGTGTCATCTCTCTCCTGCATGTGTACAGGAAAAGTCGGTGTGCTGCTGCTCAGTTTCTTTCTCTCTCTCTCTCTCTCTCTCTCTCTCTCTCTCTCTCTCTCTCTCTCTCTCTCTCTCTCTCTCTCTCTCCGTCTCTCTCTCCGTCTCTCTCTCCGTCTCTCTCCGTTTTCCTTTCATTCTGTTGCCACAGAGCCGAGTGAAGCAGAGAGCAGGATTAGCTTCTGCCACCGGCTATCAGAGTAGTGTAGATAAAAGGGACTGCTCCTTAAGCACCACTGCAGCAGCCCTTGTTAATTTTTTTTTTCTTTCCCCACAACAGTTGTGCCTCATTATCCAGTGCCTGCCTCATTTTTTTTTTTTTGGAGGGTTTGAAGTTTCTCTGCTCCAGTGACTGTTACAGAAGAAGAGATGTTAGAATTGCCATGAGGTCTTGATTGTCTGCATTTATGAATGAAACTGACCCAAATCACCTGTTACCTCCAGTTTCCAGATTGTTTGAACTTCTGTGGCTGCACTCTACAGGATAGAATACTGAAATCGCGGAAAGACCTACACTGTCTTCAGCATGGGTTGGCTCCGGAGGATTGCCTGTCTTTTCTGGGGAGTATTACTAGCTGCAAGAGCAAACTATCAAAATGTGAAGAACAATGTGCCAAGACTGAAATTATCCTATAAAGGTAAAGCATTGTCTTTTCTTCTCCTTAGTTCAGGTTCTTTATTTCCTTTCTTTAAAACCTTTACTTTGTTGACATGTGAGAGCTTGTGTTAATGTATGTATATTGAGAGAGGGGGAGATAAAGGAGATGATTGAAACACTTTTTTTTTTTTTAAAGCATGCCTCATGCTCAGAGTCTGACAATTTAAATGCAAACAAAGAGCACTTAATCACATTTTCAGAAAAGGAATGTATGCCTAGGACATGCTGATATATATTGGAAAGGATATTTTACCTTCCCTTTTTTCCCTGCTTTTACTCCCCTAAAATATTGTAAAAATTTCATAGCAAAACTGGCTTCTCTGTAGGTGTGTGGGTTGTACCTATATAATACCTGTCATGGCAGATTTGCATTTTCTTACTTTTTAGGCATGAAGTGGTTAATTCCCTGTCATGAATATTCAGATTGTACAAATCTGACAATCAGATGCTTAACATAAGCAGTAGATGGTGGTTTTGCCAAGAGAATATAAACTGGAAGGGACAGACTAGCTTCTGTAAAGGGTGTTATGATCGTACAAAAGATTGTGGATTTGACTAATTGATGTACTGCTAAAGGCTTTGAAAGAAAATGCTATTTTCATTTGATGTGTGTTTCTGTGTGTTTCACTAGCTAGTCACATAGCTAGAAGAGCAAGTTTGGATTTATAGACAATGTAAATAGCACACAAGAAATACATTGCAGAATTTTTCAGTAATTACTTTTTTGTCCATTTGGACAGTTTAAACATGGGATTTTGTAATGCTACCTATATCAGTAAATTTTATAACTAGATATGTCAGATATAGTAGCATAGATTCAGAATATCCACATACATCTTTAAAAGAACATTTTCACAATTCAAGAATTATTCAAGATGGAGTAGAAGAAGAAACTATTTTAACCCAAGTAGTTTATCCCTCCTAAGGTGTGGATTTCTTATGATTCTCAGATTTCCTTAGCTGGGGGTGGGGCAATAGCTTCCCATAATGTCCTATTTCACCCTATAATGTAAAGGGGAGAATGGTTGCGTCTGTGGACATGGATATCTGTCAGTTTATCTGTCTACTGTATGTTATTTTCATGCCAGCAGAAATATGTTCTTTCATTTTCACATAATGGGGAAAATCTGTCTTTCTGAATGCACTTGTGTGAAAAAAAAAAAAACACCTCAGAGAGAAGAGTTGTCATTTTCACACTTTAGATTAGAAAATTAAACACCTATTAAACATGTGTTCTCGTTTAATTATTATAAAGAAATTGTGCATTTTTGAACAACTTTTTAAGGGAAAATCCCTTCACAATGAATTTTATGGGTTTAAATATATTCTTGGATATTGAATTGAGAATTTTAAATAATCATTTAATTAAAGGAAGAGTTGTGTCACACACATACACATACACACATATGTATATATGACACTTTCCTTTTAGGTAAATTGTTCTGGATTGATCATATGATATCCATTCATCCTTTTATCATAAATATAAATTAATTTACTATTTCAAGTTATTTCCCCAACTATATGGCATTTTGTCATTTGATATTTTATCAGTATTTGCTTTATCTTTTCATGCCTTACAAGTTTCAACGTCTTATATTGCTAAACTACTTTATTCAAGTTGTTACTTCTCACAAATAAGTGCTGTTTGAGATTTTGACTCAGAGATGTCCTATGCTAGAATTTTAATGTCATGAAATTAAGAATTGTGAATAAATTCTGTGATTGAATAATCTTTATCAAGTTGGTGCTTCTGGCTAAAAAAAAATGCATATTTAAGAATTTCTTGTACAAATTGAAAAAAACGCATTAAGCTGTTAAGTCCCCCCCCCCAATTCTTTCAAGAAAGAGAAAGATAACACATTTCCATGGCAATAGATTATCCTCCATTTTACAGGGAACCAATTCCCTGTAAAAGGCCATCATTAAATGAGAATAACAATTTGGTGTGTATGCTTTAAAACTCTTTGAATAAACAGGAAGCACATCTTGATATAGTGTTTCTATTACTCTTTCATGAAAATCATTTCTCAGTAGTGGAACTAATTTGTATTATACTACCCACAATTAGAATAACCACCCTTCAGTTACCTAACAGTTCTATTTATATGCCCAGTTCTTGGCAATTTAGTAAAATAAACTGTGAAATGAACAAGAGCAAGAAGAATAAAAGGAATGTGTCTAGCAATTTTTCTTCTGTTATGTTGTTGAGCTGTCATTACCTTTTTTTCTACACATATTTTTTTTCAAAGTAAATGTCTTATATCCAATTGTCTGTTTCTAAAAAAATGATTGAGACTTCTAGCTACTTTTCTTTTTCTAGCTAATTAGATGTCAAACACAGTTAAAACAGTCAATGCTTGCTCCTAAAAATATTCCAGCATGATTCATGAAGGGTTAAATCCCTGCCAACCCTAATTTCCCATGGTCACTTGTTTTCAAAGATCCACTATTAACTCAGTCATTGCTCAGGTTGCTAAGAAGTTTCAATTAACTACACACAGTTCTAATATTCACTTTCCACTTGTCTTATTACCTGGCCTTGCAACAGATGAAAGGTATTTGACAGGACAAATGAAGATAGTAAGGTAGGAAAAGAAGGGATTTTTTGTAAATATATGATAACAGGGGGTTCCTTCAGTATCCAGCAGCGGGGGAGGGGATGAAAAGATGCTTTCAGATCCTTCTGCAGAAGTGATAGATTAGAAAAACAGGTTATAGTAACTCTTCCCTCTGAACCAATCTGATTTAGATTCCTTGTGGGGAAGGCACTATGAGAAGTCTCTAAGTCTCAGCAATCACAGGCACTTTTCATTCAAGGGATCTCATCCAGAAATTATGTCTTGTTTTCCTTAAATATCTGTAATATGGCTAAATGTTGAAATGCCTCTCTGGAACTAGCATTCTATAACTGTTCTTTACCTCCCTCAAAATTGTTTAAATTCCACATCTCTTCTGAAATATTAAAAAGTCATCTTTCTTTTGGAAAGCATAATACAGTAAATACTTCAGGATCAAAAAAACTAATAGAAATGATAAGGAAATGGAACAAAGCTTTGGGTTTTAAAAAGTGACAAATATTTAACCATTCTGTCTAATGAACTGTTCCAGATGAGAGAGACAGAAAAACAGAGAGGGAGAGAGAGAGAAGCAGTAATGTATACAGTGTTCAGTCCTCGATATGACAGTGATCAAGTGAGACTGAAGTGTAAATCAGTGACTGTAACCTTAGCTTCAAAAGTATTTCTTTCTTGGTTAGTAACACCAATAAAGTAAATGGTAGTTTCATTCATGGGGTTTCTTTTTAAGGTTTTTATTATGATATTATATAATTTTACAAAGCTCCCTCCCTTCCCCCCAAAAAAATCCCTAAGATCTTTTAAAATGAGAGAACAAGTTAAATGAAAGTATTTCATATTCATCTGTTTGCTAAATGAAGAGTATTTGTTTATAGAAAATTACTGTAGTAGATTTTATGAGGAATGGGTTTTTCCCCCTTTCTCATTGCTCAGTGAAAGTATAATACTTCTGAACAAGTAATTGGAAAAATATTCCACACAGATTCAGTAGTACAACTTCTTGACTTCCTTGCAGACCTCTAAGACCTTTCTCTTTCCCCCAGAGTTATAATATACATGAAAGATACCTTCATGTTAAGCATACATATTCTTTAACTTTATGAAAATAAATCTCCTAATCCACCTGGCCACTGATGATGACAACAGCTTGCTCACTGAACGGTATGAGTAAAAGGTGGTATATGTTAGTCTAAGCAATATGCGCCCTAGGCCTGAGGTACAGACTGGCTCCAAAAAATTAAGATAAAGATGATGGTTATTCTAAGAACATGAAAGCAAGAAGTATATGCGAGCCATATCAAGTTCTAAGTGACTGAGGATGGATTTGAGCCCAGGGACTTTGATTTCAAATCCACTGTGCCATGCTGCCTTATTATCTTTATATTTGAAAGAAACCTGACATTTGAAAATCCCCATGTGGATTTTCATAAGGAACTTGCCAATGGTAAAATTTAAGAAATTAATATAATTCATGGTAGCAGCCAGTAATTCATGAACTTGGCACCAGCCACTGCCCCTCTCTAAAATATAAAGTCATGCATTTTCACTTGGTATCATTTTTGTTAAGTACTGATTAAAATTTTCTGACCTACATTTAGGAGGTCATTTCTTTCTTTTAATGACAGTGAACTTTTAAGTATATTTGCTATTCTTGAAGTGTCTAGTTAAAAGCCCTGAAAATTGCTGGGGGTGGGGTGAGAGAGGATTATTCATCCTCTCAAACAAACACAGTCCTTACAATAATGGATGCTCCCTCACACTGCTCCAAACCTAGCCCAAGGATGCCAGTAAAAGTCTAGTCCTTAGCTCCTTTGCTAAAGCCCTCAACCATATTGACATTATGTGGTTTCTGCAGGATAGACTTTGGCAAGTAGGCATGTGATTGAGACCACAGAGTCTTTCCACTTTCCACTTCAGCCACTAACCCACTTGACATTGATTGTTAGTCACTAGAAGCCTAAACCAGATCTGAACTAATGACCCAGAGAAAATATCTACCACCCACACATCCCTCTTCCCATTTTTCTTTCTCTTCCTGTTCTCACACGGGTAATTCATACTACTCCACCCAGTCCTGGCTCATCAAAATATGAATTACCAATAGATATGTGCCTGGTAGTTTAATACCTGCCATTCTAAAGGACTAAAAACTTGGAAACACTCCTTTTCCTAGTATCATGGGACCTAGAACTAAAATAAACCTCAAATATCATCTAAAGCTCAGCTCTCTATTTTCCAAACAAGGACACAAATCTAGAAAGGCTAAATTATTTGCCCAAGGTAATATTGGTTTTTCATTGGAGAACTGGGACTTGAATCCGGGTCTTCTGAATCCAGTGCTCATGTTATTTGTACTAAACCGTGTACTAACAAGTTATAAACAGTTTTATAACTCAAATTA